AGAGAGAGAGAGAGAGAGAGAGGGGGAGAAGATGAAATTGTAGCAGAGTTGAAGTTTATGAACGATTTTTTTTAATGAAAAAAAAAATTAACCGGATAATATTATTAGTGTGGGTGGATTTGAAGTACACGGCAGGGCAGCGGAAAATAGACAAGTTTTAAATCCAAATCCTGTTGCTAAATTGCGCAGGGATTTTCGGTATGGAATATTTCTTAGTTCTTAGGTTGTGCACATATTCGGCATGGTGCCGACTTGAAATTCTGTATAACTTTAAGATCTCTTAGGTTAGCCAATTATCAAGACTGCTATTCATTTCATTGTGTATAAATATACACTTTTTGCTCTTTATTCAGACATTAATAAATGGATAAAATAGTCTCCACCATGTAATGTACTTTTCGTGCAAACTTCTGCCAGTCTAAGTGAAAGCATTTGTATAGAAGCTCTTCTCTTCCTTTCTCTATCATGAAAACTTACATTTTAAGTTTCTTTTTAAGCTAAACTGCATCGGGCATACATCTATTTATATAATAATCATTGCCTCAAACGGCAGACTTCTTCTATAGACTTTTGGAAGCGAGATCTTTTACTGTTTTCCAAAGATCTTTCTAAATGCCACCTGATGACACTTGCAGTACGCAAAATAAGACGAAGACCGTTGGTTAAAACAACACTTGAGTGGTTTAATTCACTCGCCGAAAAAGACCCACAGAAAAAACCCACAAAAAAAAACCGTATATGTTTTGCGTTAAACCTCTGTCTGTGAAGATTCTTCTTTCTAACTTGAGGTCTGGTACAAATGGTTTTTGTTGTTCGTTGCTGTTGTAGTTCTTGCTGTTGTTATTGTTGCTTTTTCTTTCTGTATGATTTTTTTGTGTTTTTTTGCTTTATTGTGGCGTCTTTAGCCTAGTGGTAAGGCTATTGGACTCGGAATGGGAAGCGACAAAACTGGCTTGTTTTTTAAGTTTCAGACATCGTTGACAGGAAAGTCTTCTATATGGTCAGTAGCGGGATGAGTAACTTCCCTCATAATCCCTGCGACATTTTGTTTCTCGTTGTTTTGACAGTTTATAACTGACAGTTATACCTTGTTCGTGCAGAGTTGAAACGTTAAGCACTACAATGATGAATTTCAGCCAACGTAAAAATACCAGAGCGTTGACAGTAACTCAAAGGATAGATAAAACAGTTTACTTTAAATACATGTACCATGAGCGTTCCGCAACATAAACGTGCCCCCATGCAGAGAGGAACAATGTTTCCGAACCATACATTAATATTGCATTTTTAGAATACAAACCCCTGAATAACTCTTATATCAACAGGTAGTCGTCGGTAATAAAGTATTGGTAAAATGTTACATTGTTATATTATTGATAATAAACTAAACTAATCTCTCTTTTCTCAGAACCGATTAATCAAACATCAGCGTACGGGAGCGCTCAAAATGTAACCAATGTTAGTTTTGCTCCGATCAGCGCTCCAAACAAGTGTTCTTTAAATATTATGTTTGATCAGCGTGGGAGTAGGAGACTATCAGACAAATACCTAGGCTAACCAATAAGCAAAATTTTAAAAAATATTTTTAAAAACGCAAAAACCAACAACAAAAAAGAAGGAACAAAAGGAACAAAAAATAACGTTAGAAGTTTGAGATGATATTGGGTCATCTGTAGGGAATACAAAATTGATGTAACGTAATAAATCGATAAAAAAAACAATCCCCCAAGAACAAAATATGTCACAGATTCAGGAGAAAAATGTGCCATTTCCATCAATAGAACCATGCTACATGAAACATCATAGCTACGTGTCAGGTTGGATCTGTACTGTAGACACAGGTACAGCCAGGGACTTTTGCCTTTGCTCGTAGGGTTCACATGCCTAAATTGGGTCGCCAAGATCAGGAAAAGGGTATTGTAATATACTGTTTCGAAAACTGAAGATTCTCTATAACGGCTACTTTTTAAAGCGAGAAAATTTTCCATTCA